CGTTTTTACACCACCGTTGGTTGACATATAGGCAGACACCACCCCCTTGGGATTTCCCTGTGACGTCAGCGTCTCTGTGAAGCCTGATCGGCGCACCATAGCCACTGAGAGTCAACTCAGTCTCTAAATCCGCAGAAGTAAGCCAGGTCTCGGTGAAGGTCATGATGCAAGCGTCTCTGTATTTCTCCAAGTGCCTGACGTTAGCTTGGATCTCTTCGATCTTGTTCCTGATAGACTGGGCATTACAAAGTAGTATGGAGGGGAGGGGTATACAGTTAAGTCCCAAGGCGCTTAAGCCTCTGCCTCCCCTTCTTCCCCGTTTCCGCACTTTGCATTTTCTGTCCCGTGTAGTACAATTGTCATTGTGGCGGAAGATGTCTTTAATGAAGCCGTCTTCTTTAAATAAGTCCAAGTGTGTTGGTAGCTGCTGTTGGTCTTTTAGGCTCAGTAGAAACCCTCGTGGGTACTGAATCCTGCCCATGTGCGGATGGCAAGGATCAAACAGACACTGCACCACAGCAAACACAGTCCCCGTGACAATAAGAAGCAGTAATTCCATTTCAGTCTTTTAGAGCAACGAACAAGGCAGCAGAAGTAAAGCTTAACCAGATAGTTGTGTTTCGGCTTGACGATTACTAACGACATTAAAAGAAAAGCAACATTTAAAACAAAACAAACAGACCACTACTGCACGCCGCTACTCACCCAGCGCCATCTTGCTTCCATTTTCAGGGAGCCAGACGTGTACAGTGTTATTTCAAAGCTAGCTTGCTATAATTTTAGCCTGTCCGAAATTGCCTACCCTTCCTTTAAGATAATGGATTAGCTATATGTAATCCTTTAGCTGATGTATACATTATCCCTAACCTGTAAACACTTTTTTTTACTAGATAATTAAATAATATTTTTGACTTGAATGAAACTAGTTATCTTTTTTCGGTTACCAATATTCATTGCTCACCAGGCTCCAGGACTGACACATTTTCAACCTGAGCACCTAACTATGAGAGGCCTAGTTTCAACAGCTGTATGAGAGGGAGTGACTTACAAAAACACACACATGCACACCATAGTTTGGCAGTATCGTCCAGAGAGAGAGTTTTTGGATGTGTCCTCATTGTGGAGGAGGACAGATGGAGTACAAAAAGTCCCCTGCCTTACCTCGCCTTGCCTTCCCTATCTTTGTCTCTCTCTCTCTTTCTCTGCTGACTTTGCAGGCCGTGTTGCTGGGCACTGCATGCAGAGCTGTTTAGATTAATTTTGTCGCTAAACACACACCTCTGCACATAGAAAGCACAAGTGCATTAAGATTCATACTCAGTGATGCATTGATAAGCGAATCAAATATCTCTCACACATACACATAAAGAAAAAGAAAGAAAAGTTAGAGCAGCTCTCTATTAAGCCCTGTCTGCTTTTCTTCTTTTTTTTAAAACTCTATAAAACTCCAGCCCTGATAAACAGAGACAATAGCAGCTCTAGCCTTGTGTCAACCCAGCACAGTCACACAATGCAGCTATTGATTAATTAACAAAACAAAAGACTGAAGACATAGACATTCGCTGTCCATATGATTTATTTTAAGAACTCCACTTCTCTTTCTGCCACAACCTGTTAATAAATAATCAGGAATTGTGTGTTTTGTAAATGCTGTCTATATATAGAAATATATACATAGATGACTAATTAGCGCCACTATGGCTACTTCTATGGCACTCTATGTAATCTGTCTACCATATTGGACTGATCAAAGACGGCCCGTGAACATTTGAGAGCAAGTTGACTAGGCGTCTGAAACCGTAATTAGACGCATGCATGAATATCTATATCTGCAATTTGCTGAACTAACACAACAAGACGAAGGCGTCAGGTAATACAACATTAAAAAGTTCCCATAGTAAAAGGAAAAATATTAAAAGTACCATAGTAAAAACCTGTAATATTGAGTGAATACATAAACACAAACCAACACATTCTCACCTGTGAAAGGAAAAATCTTGGCGGTTTCACATCCAGAATCTGCGCGATGTTGTGGCATCATTGATTCTTGACAACACGCTGACTGGATGGAGGGCGCGCGCGCAGACGTGTCTGGAGCGGTCGAATGTGGAATCTACGTATACATATCTGATCGAGACCTCTCTTCTGACTCTTTCTGCAAGTTACAGTTGGTGGCCAGCAAGTGACAGACTAAATTATGAGTGAGACATTTATTAATTCAACTGATTTGTTTAAAAATGCTGATTTGTTCAGAAATTAAACTAGTCATCTGTCTTTATGAGCAAGTCTTTGAATCATTCGTTCAACCGTTTTGTTTGGAACTATATGATGGATCAAAAACAGACAAAGTAACAGGCAAAATTGCATCTAAAATGTATGTTACTTAATATTCACTTATGTTACAGTATACTGAATTGTTGTATATAAGCAATATCACTCACAATCGTGCCCTTTTTTTATAATATCTTGCTGACTCTTGACTACGGCCAATTCAAAGTCATTCTGATATATTCGGAAATTCAGCACTTTTGCTTATGATGTTTTTATATATATAGATAAAAAATAATCAGTGTTATTTTAGTTTAGTAGGCTATATTTAGCTTTATTTCAGTTGTAGTTTTAGTCATTTGGTACTTCATCTTAAACGTGTTTATTTCACTCAGTTGCCAAGTCAACATTTTTAATGTGTACGTTTTTTTAAGTTTAACTTTTTAGCGTTCACATCCTCGTAATCTCGTAATTACAATTTGCACCACCTGACCTCACCTGACCACCTGACGCTCCGAGTGGAACGTCATGAGTTGTCATCTCGAAATCACGGTATACGACATGACTTGAACGCAGCTTAAATGAACAGCATGATTTGGCAGGGAATATGATCATGAGGTGGCCTGCTCCATTCAGTTGAACTTTTATTATGACTGGATTCTTAACCTTATTTGAATGTACATCATCAAACATATTTTTCAATAGTACATATAATGTTTTCAGTGCAAAACTTTTTATTGAGGGAAAAAGTGCACTTTTAGAAAAAGATAAATCCCATGAGGTTGAGAGTATCATTCTGTTCCCTATCAATGAGCTGAATGCAATCTTACCACTCAGACTTTCTAAACACACTTACTGAGCCTATATCACTGTCGAATCCATCAAACCACTAAGCTTAGCTGACTGAAATTCACTCAGTGAGTGCTCTCAGTCCTTCGCATGCATATGCAAAGTGCAATGGTTGGAGGTGGATGAGTGTAACGAGTGGAAAAGGTTAGTCAGGGGTATGACCTTTATAATCCCCTTCTGACTAAAGCTTATGAGAGCTAATGTGAATCAGGGTGTGTGTGTGTGTGTGTAGCTAAACGTGAAAAAAGTACTTCTCAAATTTGCTGTCATTTAAACAGTGCACTGCACAGACCGGAAAGCCTCTTTAGGTACAGATTGGTTTCATCAACCATCACTCACTTCACACAAACATCCTTTTGACACAAAACATATGTTATATAACAAACACATGTAATCTTAGTGAACAAACACACACACACACACACACACACACACACACATCAGTACAACTGGCATATTTCACTTTTCTTTTCTAATGATCATCTTGTTTGCCTTCTACAGAAGAGCCAGAGCATGAAAGAGATGTTTGCCTAAATGAGAGGAGTGTGTGCTGAGAACATGGAGACTTAAAAATAGCTCTTTTTGGGTAAACAATCCGGGTCTTGTAGAAATAAGGAGATAGCGGAAATCAGTGCATAACTCATTTAGGCTATTACCTCATTCTGGCACTATTAGGTTACGATGCCGACAGTACTTGCTTATCTGCCTGCGAACCTCAAAAAACACACGCTTCATCTCCATATCAGAGCTGTCAAATACACAGTGAGTCACTATACAAACATCATTTGATAACCATCAAACACCAAATGAATGACATTAAATACAGGAAAAACGAATAAAATTGCACATCCTTCCTCCCAATCTCTGTTCAGAGACTGTGATCTCCTCATTTAAAGAACTAAAAATCAATGTCACTGGAGCAACCAGCTAAAAGGCTGAAATATAATCCCTGCACTGCTAAATGAATCAGGATATTCCTCATGCTTTCCCTGCAGGCTGCACAACAGAGCGATTAAAACCAAGCTGATCTGCACGCCATGTGATTGTGGCATTGGAGTTGGCAGTGGGTTGGTTTGTAGTGTAAACATGAACTTTGTCCAACCTCTGCTTTATGACTGGTTTCAGTGTGCCGAGGTGGACAACAGCTTTGGATTATCTCAAATAAAACATAAACCACATCTTATAACCATTAGATAGATTGAAAAACACTTGATAGAAATCGTTGCTAAACATATAGATCGGAACTGAGCTTGACACTGATTATGTAATGAAATCCATTTTAGATTCATAGTAAGTAATGTCTATCCAGAATGTTCTGCACTGTGTGGCTTGAAACAGGCACACCTAGCTTTCAGTTATAACGTGGACAAGAGGTCTTTAATGGTGTGCACTTGACAATAATAAAATACAAAAATGTACCACAGTGTAACACCATGTTTCTAGAGAACCATGTTACCATGGCCATGAATAACTACGGTACGTGGTTTATATAATTACCGTGGTAATGCCATTTGACTTTACTGTACTCTGCTGTCACCTGCAAGAGAGGGTGAGTTTCCCATGATGGGCTAAGTTCATAAAGTCAGCGGGGCTTACTTGAAAATTAACGTCTTGTTGTTGTTGATATGCATATAACTCATGTGCACACAGAAACCTTAATGAGTGCCATAAATGTATCACAGCAGCAAAGTTATTCATTTAAATCTGTACTATATCCTTCCTTACATCTGTCATACATTATCTATTTCAATAATTATTATATGGAATAGATTAGAAAACACCACAGATCACAGAATAAAAATGAACGGTTGTTTGACATTATTCTTGGCAGCCAGTTTTACAACATGCAACTCTTAAATGCGCGATGTAAACATGTTACTCACCGCGACAGACCCGGACGAGGAGGCGATATACACTCTGATGACCATCCTAATCCTCACTGATCCTCTCGAAAAAGAATGAAGGCTGGTTAATGTTGCGTTCTCTCGTTCTATAGACTTCTTTGGACCTGCGGTTACGTCAACTTCACCCTATGAAATTAAAGTGAGTGCGCGCGCCCAGTGTATTATAATAAAGCCGCTCGCGCTCCATCAGTGCACTTCACTCCACCGTCGGGAGCGCAGCGCTCAGCTCCAGCTCAAGAAGGGAATCATGGGAAATGTAGTTTTAATCTCCTAAAAAAAACGACGCCTATCCTTGTTATCATTAATCCGTTGTAGGGGATTATCATGTCAAGAACATGATAGTAAATATTGTCATCATAGTTAGGATGTTGCTACCAAGTCAATATTGTAATTTCATTATATGAGGAAATAGGCCTAAACCCCGTTGTAGCCTATGTTGCCACCATGTGTTTGCAACCCAGTGTTGTGGGAAGAAAGGCAACAGCAGTGTGCCAAAGTTTTATTATATACATTTATATATAGGCCTATTATACACACATACACACACACACACATATATAATATATATATTAGTAGCCTAACGTGCAAAATGTCTTATAGGCACATTAGTATTTTCACACAAAAAATTATTTTAAGCCAGTTATTTATATCTTTTGCTGTAGTGTGTCAGTGAAATATTAATTTACATCTCCAAACATTTCTTTTGCCATTAATTGTAATAATCCAATGAGATATTTTTATGCACAAGGAGTCTGACAATAGCCAGTATGCTCCACAACTGAGATCTGATCTCACCATCATCGAGTCTTTCTGTGATTACATGAAGACTGAGACATAATAAATCCAGAAGAAGAAACCGACCTGCAAAGCTACCTGAAAAACTGTGCAAGTGTACCTAGGACAAAAGCTGTTGTTGTTTTTTTGCCATTTTATTTAATATTTTAACATTGTTCCTGTTATAATATATATATATATATATATATATATATATATATATATGAAAACGTATATTTTAAATATAAACATATTTGAACTAAAATAATATTTAGTATGATATACTATATATATATATATATATATATATATATATATATATATATATATATATATATATATATATACAGGGCTGGACTGGGACAAAAAATCGGCCCGGGCATTTTGGCTCAGACTGGCCCACTATATTACACAACCGAACTTTGCACGCCCTTGAATATGTATACCAACTCCTATTAAAACCACTAATGCCATAAGTGTTTAGGAGTGAGTAAGAGTTAATCGATGAAATAACTACTAAGTCGAACTATACTCCACAGTGATGAATCCTAAAGAAAGCTATAAGCTGGGATAGCAATACTGGTTTTTCCCACAGGATTTTATGAAATCTGTGGTGAGTGCACCTCTGTCCCTCTAGGGGGGTTCGGGGGCATGCTCCCCCGTAAGAAAATTTTGTGCTTTTTAATGTTAAATTCATCAATCTGGTGCACTTTGAGAGTTAAAAATAAAGAGCTCCAACCCATATTCAGTGTGCAAATTGAACAAAGAAAAACTCTAAACTCTTTTAGCTGTGATATAGTGTCTGTCTACATTACACTACTACATAATAATAGTTATAATATTAATCCCATGGCAGTAATAGCCATATGTTGTAAAACAAATGCACTGAAAAATAAAAGCAACTTTCATAATTAGTTTCATACTAATTTCTATACAGAGATAAGCACATGATCTTTTATTTTGACGGAAACGGCATCGAGCTTTTATTTTGAAGAAAAACATGGTTTACAAGCTCATTACTCATTATTGTCTCATTACAATTCTAATAAAATGCGTAATCGTCAAATATGTAGATGTGTAAATAATGCGTAACTGGGTAGTGGGTTCCTACTTAGCCTAAGACTCCTAAGTGTTGTGACAGTAGCCTAGTTCTGCTTACCACAGTTCTCTGCACTCACTCATCTCTCTCCTTATCCTCCTCACTATCCTCATCAGACACTTGAAGGGCCTTTGAAGTTTCTTTTCACGCTATTTCTCTGCACATTCCTTGCGTTTCTTCTCCATCGCTCTGACTATTTTGACAGATACACACTGACACTGCTCGCTCACTCAGAGCTCAAAGGGGGAGGAGTTTAAAGATGTGATTGGACCAGCCCAGTGTCAATCAAGAAAATAACCAATGGGCCGCTGATCTACGCGTTTCATCTTGCGCCGGTCGCGATATTTTTTTTCACAGTATGGTAGGGGAAGACTCATGAATATTCATTAGGGAACTCATCCCTGATTGGTCTTAACCCCAGTGACGGGTAGGTTTAGGGGCGGGGTTAGGGGTAAGTCATCAGACCCCCAGTGACGGGTAGGTTTAGGGGCGGGGTTAGGGGTAGGTCATCAGACCAATCAGGGATGAGTTCCCTAATGAATATTCATGAGTCTTCCCCTACCATCCTGTGAAAAAAAAAAATCGCGCGCCGGTCTGTGAGAAAAAGAAAAACCTACGCTGACTTTTTTGTCCAATGCATTACACCGGCACAAAGATCCAAGAGCCGCCAATTAAACAAAACTAAACGCAATGGGCCGCCGATGTACTAGTTTAATGGGCCGTTCAGACAAAAAAAAAAAAATTAAGTATGAGATGTATCGGCCCACAAAGCACGTCGGCCCACCGGGCAAATGCCCGGTATGCCCAATGGCCAGTCCAGCCCTATATATATATATATATATATATATATATATATATATATATATATATATATATATATATATATATATATAACTATAATAGTTTTTAATGTCTTATTATTTCATTTATTAATGCCAGTCTGACACATGAGTCATGACTTGCTTTATTGTATGTCTTTCTGACGAGTTTTGCTCCTTTTAATAATACTACCGACGCCTGAAGCCTGTCTGTCTGTCAGTGTAATATCAGCCGAGCCAAAGAACGTCTTCTTTGGCCGAGCTCAACAAGTGGTGACGGAGTGACAGAGGCGCGCACGTTGCCATGGAGAGGCGTCACTATGACACCAGTCCAGTAGCAGAAGGCGAGGCGTGGATTCAGAGATTTCACCAACTCCTTCAGTAAAGCACATATTCCTCTTCAAAAGCCACAATCTCCGCCATAATCGACCTCAGATGACGCTTGATTAAATGATAGACGACCAAACATCCGCATTCGCTCTCTCTTTACCGTATCATATGAGGTTTTGCTAATCGTTTGGTGTCGTCTCTCCAGTTTAGAGTGTTGTGTGTTGTCCTAGTTGCACGATATAATCCAGCTAGCTCGTCATGTGGCTGGCTAGCGAGTTTGCGAGCCGTTAATCGAGCCATGTTATGAAGAAACTGACTGAAGAACAAGAAACTGGTAAGTACTTTTAAGATAATTTCACGCGCGTTCTTTCAGTGTAACTTACGTTATGTTACGTTCAGCGTTTGCTATTCTTTTTTGTCACTCGGAAAACACTAACAACCAGTTAGTAAATAAGAAACACCAGCAGCTTCTTCCTTGATACAATGATACACGTATTAAGATGCAGTCAGACATTGTTTTGTTTTAAATAAAGACATGTTGACCGACTTCCTGTTGTTTATGGACACCTGTAGTTGGACTAACCTGACTTATTTCCTGAGTTCTGAATTCATAAAGCTCTTTTGTTATGATATTTGGCAACAGTGCCTATAATGTCTCCATTATTGTAAGTTCATCTCAATTGAATGCTATATGTTTTGAACTATAGCCTATATATTTTTATATAATCACTTTATGTTCTTTTTTACTCGAGTTTGAGTCAATTTTATAAGAATGTCAACCAAACTGATTGACATTTGTTGTTGTGATGGTTATTAAGGCCATTCAAAGTCAAACTGGCCTGTCATGTGCAGGTGGTTTCAGTGCTTGATGCCAGTTCATCACATGATTTCATTGGTCATTTAAAAAGGGCTTTAACATTAGACTGAGTGACTGACTCAATGTATGAATGTCTTATGTGTAAAACATAACGTTACTTGTGTGCTATTGTATCAGTTTTGCATGTGCATAATATTCCTTACCTAAACTTAAGTCAATAATAGGTCTGTTGCAGAATATAACACAAAATGATCTCAATTACAGATTAATTCAAAACTAATTTATAAGGACTTTTTTGGGGGCTAAGCTATAAAACTAAAATTTGTTAGTAGCAAATATGCCTGATATTTTTGGTGAAGGAATTCAAGATTTCCTTTATACAGATTTTTTGACGTTAACTCAACTTTTAATATGCAATATCAACTTTAAAGTATATATATATATATATATATATATATACATATAATTTAAAAACTAAGATTTTTTGACACTTCTATGGCATCTTAATGGATGCCATAGAAACATTTGACCAAAATAGAGGGAGGTGAAAGGTGAGGCAGTAATTGCATGTGTTTAGCATGCCATTAAGGAGTGAATGATATTATTGGCCGCTTACAAAGGGTAGACTCAATCTCCATGGTGACCGAGACCAGAGAGGATATCAGGATTCTGCAGGTTCAGGGACAGAAAAAGGAGGACTTGTCAGTAGCCTTACAAAAGGGTCATAAATCTTTCTTATTTTATGACGATACACCACAGATCTGCTGTAGCTCATTTCTGTCTTGTAACCAGCTCTATTGACTCTTTGTTCTTAGTGACACTTGTTGATTTATTATTTGTACTCAATTTGAGACCATCATCAACTATTACACATCATCACAACACAATTTATGCCATGATTTGGTAAGAAAGTGTCTGGCAACCCAATTATCTAAAGCCACATATCTAAGTGCCTTGGTGTTTGAGATTTGCTCGATCATGCCTAAAGTAATGTACCAAATTGTATGGTTAAACACATCATATCTGTTAGTGTTTTGGCTCGCCTGGCTGGACATTGTATCTCTAACCACAGTACTAGTTGAGAATTAATAACACGTTACTGTCGTGAATGAGCAACAAATGTGACGTCTTGATTCAATCTTGATGAAGCCTCTCAGACAGCTTGAGTGTTTAGTGTCTGGATTTATGTCACGATTCGCTCAAGGCTCACACACAAACTCACAACCTGATTTGCTAACATACTGTGTCTTTTTTGATTTGTGTGTTTGAAGGGATGTGTGCTGTTTATTAATTGTGAGTGAAGCTCATATTCAGTTCAGTCTCAGTCTGATGTTGTCTCGATCATTGTGAACTGTATTGCAGGGGAAGACATGGACTTGCATGCAGAAAATCAGGAATCAGAGCACAGCCGATTGTCTCACCGAAGTGATGCGAAGATCTTGGAATCTCCTCAACATTCTGGGAAACAGGAGAAATACTGGAAAGACATTGGGAGCTCGGCTGGGGATCATGCACGAACCAGAACACAAGAGCCGAATGGAGACCCAGACCGCGATCGGTGTTCGGATGGAGATCGCAGCAGTGCCTCTTTCTACTCGGATGATTATGAAAACATCTCGCACTCGGATCGGTCGCTCTCGTCAGCCTCTCCATCTCCACACAGAAAAGGCAGATCTAAGAGAGTGTCCAGCAGCCCCTTACATCGAGCAGGTATACACACCCACATAATAGGCAAACACATCCAGTGGAGTCCAAAAGTCTGAAATCCCATTGAAAATCTAGGAAGAATACAAATAATAATGTAAAAACACAGAATCATTATCATATACTAATTTTAAGTCACTGATCAAATAAGTAACTGACCATGTGCATACTAAAAGTATATAATAATTATAATATACCGGTAATAATAAAATATAAATAAAATGTACTTTGTGCATAGTCACGTTTCATTGAAGCATTGAATTTATCCCAAATCATGTTTGGATAATGATTACTGGCAAGGTTTCGCACTTGTGGAGTTCATTTAACTCAAGTACTGTTTATGCAAAACCCTGTTTACCTCTCCTTTGCACTCACTTTATTAAAAGCCAGCAACATAATGGAACAAATTCATCAGCAATCCAGAAGGTCAAGCGCATTAAATTAGTCTGAGGTGTCCTCTTATCCACTAGTTACAGGTGTAACGTAATTAACATGATGATCAAGGCCATCAGCATCTAAATCTTGATAGCGCATGGCCAAAAATGTTGTGTTTTTTTTGTTTGTTCATTTTCTTGAGACACTGATTGCATCCTGATCTGATTTATGGGCAGCAGTGTGATGTTCTCACTCACAAGATACTCAGTCGTGCAGTCTTATAAATTAATGCTTTTTCACAAAACCTGTCGAGGACATGGCCAAGTCATAATTAATTCTGAAAACAAAAAGAAATAATAATTATTAATAATAGTTAATAATTCTATTTTATAGTTTAATTTAATATGATGCCTATAAACAAGTACAAAATAATAACAAAAAAATACTTTAATACAATATATATATATATATATATATATATTAGTTTATGAAAAAATAATGTATTACAGTAATGAAAATTATCAAGAAGTATAATCACAAAAATATGTCTAGTAAAAAAATCCAAATGTGCTTCATTGTCATAAAAATAATGTCATGTTGCAAAATATCCTAAATGGTCCTATAAGAGGTTTCAGTTTCTTTATGCTAAATGTAATGTTTTTTTTTTATTTTTTTTATTTTGATGGAATATAACCTGGATATTAGGTTTGGGTTAGGGTAACAGACTAAAGCATATTTTAGGAAATAACTGTTGTGTCCTGCAGTACCAACAACAACCAGCAGATTGCACAAGAGATATTTAGCATCAAGCATCATTTGAATAGAAAATTACTTTATTTGTTTTACCACAATCAATGTCAATGCCAATATATTAATAGGAATGTTGGGTTGTACACTACCATTTCAAAAGTATGTGAACATTAAGTTTACTTTTATTCAGCAAGGTTTCATTAAAATGATCCAAAGTCTTAAAAAATAAAGTAATAAAGACTTTTACTTTTTTTTTTAAATAAATAATGTTCTTTTGAACTTTTTATTCATCAAAGAGTCCTGAAAAAATGTATCATGCTTTCCACAAAAATATTAAGCAGCACAAACCGTTACTTGTGCACCAAATCAGCAGAGTACAATGATTTCTGAAGGTCAAAATACAGTAAAATATATTTAATTTTTTTATATATATTTTTAATATGTGTATGTATGTATCTATTCAGATGTATGGTAATAACTGCACATATTTGTGTGTGTGTTTTTTTAGGCCTTATTTACTTGTGTACTTATATTTATTATTCTTTTCAGGTGTGCATAAAGGTGTGTCACGCCGTCTCCCACCCCATCATCCTCAGCAGCAATCAGGAGGCATCCGATCACAAAGTTTGAGTAAAGACGCTCCGTCCAAAGAAGTGGACCCCGTCACCAAGCGCATGCTTTCTGCACGTCTGCTAAAGATCAACGAGTTGAAGAACGCATTGTCTGAGCTGAGGCTGCATGCAGACAAGCTGCAGCGTGAGAACCGTTTACTGCGACAGCTACAGCTGCGGCAAGAGAAAGCTCTCCATCGCTACGATGACACCGAGAGCGAGATCTCTCAGCTGCTGTCTCGTCACAACAATGAGACGCACGTGCTCCGCGAGAGGCTGCGACGCAGTCAGGAGAACCAGCGCACAGCTGAACGCAGCCTCAGGGAAACGGACGTCCAGCTCCAGCGCTGTCGCAGCCAGCTTCAGAAACTGCAGCAACTTGCAGATGACCAGAATCTTGGAGAGAGGGAGGAACTGTCACGAAAACTGATGTACGCTCAAGGCAAATTACAAGAAAGTGAACACAGAGTAAAGGTAAAAAAAAAAATTCAAATTTATAATTAAAATATAAAATTGGCCATTTTTATGAATTGAAAATGATAAATGTATAAATATTATGACAATGATCAAGATTGAATATTACCCTGGTTTCTTATTTTTCTAAAAATAAATTCCTTTTAAGAGTTTTGACTGCAATGGCTTCATCCTGTAAGGATCACGGTGTCAGTATGTGTTTATGTCTATGTTTGTGTGTGTAATGTATCATCAGGAATTGGAGAAGAACATGGAGCTGAGTAGTGGGAGCTTTCAAAGGCAGCTAGCTAATGAGAGGAGGAGAACTCACGATGCACAACAGGAAGTTAAAGCCCTACAGGAGGAAGTGGAGAAACTTTGCACTAAACTAAAGGTACCAAATACTGTACTTAGAACACCCACAAGCTGTATCCAGCGTTAGATGTTTATTAATTTAATCGCAAAACCCATTACACCATGTTCATTTTTTGCATCTTATTTCAGGAAAAAGAAAAGGAGCTGGATACTCGTAACATCTACGCTAACAGGATGCTTAAAACTTCTTCCAGAAAAGAAGCAGAGAATGGCAGCAAACGGAAAGGTTGATCAGCGTTTATTGATAGGCCTATCTAAGTCTAATTACACAACTGTACTATTCACCTTCCTCCCAGGACACTTAAACATTCAGTCCATAACTACTACTAGCAGACAAGTAATGACTCCATAACAAACATATTCCTATGGCGATTACTGTATATTCCCATGTGTTTCACCTTAGTTTTACAGTGGTTCTATGGATTAGATATGAGAGTGTTTGAAGAGATGTTGTAAGGAGTCGGACTGAAGGGCCTTGAATGGAATAGTATTATAAATAATGAATGTATGTGTTTGTGCCAGTAATCTATGTATTTTGTAACATGTTTGTGTTTGTGTTGAAGGCTCCAATACAACCAGCACTAAAGGAGTACAGACAGAAGACAGAACGTCCTCATTGGACTTCCCATCGCCACCTCCAGCTCTTACCAACGGAATCCCACCTGACAACCAGGCCGATGACTACCTCTCCCTGAAGGCACGTATAGCCTGCTTGATAAAGAACTTATAAGAGACATGTCTTTTTGTATTTTGTTTTGTTGAAACCAATTTATTTATTAAGCATAAGAGACCTCTAGTTCATAAAATTGCATTTAACCGCACAGAGTTTCAGTTTATTGTATGGGATTAATTAGCTCAGCGTTCACTATAGCTTTGTTTCAAAATCTAGTGAGCTGCCTTGTTGTCTATTGCCAATATAGGTAGCATCCAAATCGTCATTGTACTGATTTGTAATGTTCTACTTAGGAAGCAACTCACAAATTGCACCCCATTCAGATTTTGACATTAAAGGGATAGTTCAGCCAAAAAGGAAAATTCTGTCATCATTTACTCACCCTCAAGTTGTTCCAAACCTGTATGAATTGCTTGCTTCTGCTGAACACAAAAGATTATATTTTAAAGAATATGGGTAACCAAACAGTTGATGGACCCCATTGACTTGCATAGTATGGAGAAAAAAAAAATACTATGGAAGTCAATGGGGTTGAATGTTTAGTTACGACATTCTTCAAAATATCTTCTTTTATGTTCAACGGAAGAAAGAAATTCTTTGGAACAAGTTTGGAACAAATTTTTGGGTGAACTATCTCTTTAATATGTCGCTAAACTAATAGTGTGATACTCTAATAAGCATTAAAATACATCATGCACAGATGTCGGGTAAAATAAAAATAAAAATTCAATTATTATAACGAATGAACAATTTATTGTTTAATTTTTTTTATTATTATTAAATAAATATTTAAATAATAATTCAATATGTTCAAATGTAATGTTTATTATTGACATCTGTCTTTGTCTGCAATCTTGGATTTTTTTACTAAAATAACTTTTGACTGAAATAACTTTTTGGAACAGCTTTGTCATTGTAAGATCATCTGATGCCTTAAAAGCCGCCTCTGTAGGCAGCTCACTAGATTTTAGAACAGAGTACATAAATGCTGCATATTGGGCTAGAAACTTCAACACATTATAAAATTTGATTCCTCATGAGGAAAATCTATCATGTTTCTGTTTCATCTTCTTTCATTTGATACTCATCACAGTTATTCTTTTGTTGATGTTTGATTTAGCTCGTGCTTAATTTACACCTTTCTTTTCTCTCTTTCTCATTCTGTTTTATCAATCTATTTGTTAGCTTACATACCTGTGAATTTCCTTGTTAATTAATCTTTGAAGTAATTTTTAATGATTGACTTTCAGGATCAAAAGCCTGCTGTGAACCACAGAGTAAAAAAGGTTGGCCTTATAAGTCTGTCCTTCTGTTTACCAGCATGCAGCACACAATAGAATAGAAGTTCATATGCTGGCTCCCAAAGCAAATCTTCATTCTTTAATTGAGCATTGGATTGCTGCATGAAGTGCTGACCTCTTAACCTCTGCCAAATAGTCTATCAACAGAAGAACACTAGTAACCTCCTGGCTGATTAGTTTTACAGCTTGAGTGTCCATGATTCTTAGATCATTCTGAATTAAAAATGCCAAGAATATTAAGAACATCCCAGCTCTGAGAGAATATTTATTGTTTTATCTATGGTAGAGATGTTTTATACACGTTTAAATTCTGTCATCATTTACTCACCCTTGTGTCATTTAAAATGCTTTTTTTCTTTTCTTTTGTGGAACTTCTCCCTTACAGTTAAATTAAATTGTGATCAGGAGCGGTCAAGCTCTAAAAATGACAAAAAAATAACACCATAAAGCATCATGAAAGTAGGTAAAATTCTCCACAATAGCTGCCGTTAATGTATATTCAAATATCTTGTGTCAGGTTTGACGTTAGTGATGCCATACGCTTGTGTGTCTTTTAACTGATTGAGAAAGGCCAACTGAATGCCACATTTAAACATCATGAGGGTGAGAAAATGCTGACAATTTTCATTTTGTGCAGACTATCCCTTTTAACACATTCAGTGAGCAAGCCTTACAGAACTTATGAGCTTTGTTTTTTACTCTCTTCTGGTCCTTTGTTTGTCATCCTTTTTTTTCCCTACGACACATCAGCAGGATCAACAAGAAAAAGAGCAGAGACTGAGAGAAGCAAAGGAATGGAAGATCCAACAGTTTTGGAAAGAAAGGGAGAATGAAAGAGGCATGGAATCTGTGATGGAACAGACAAGGGAGAAGGAGAGAGAAACGGAGATGCTGAAAGTCAAGGAGAGGCAAAGACTAGATCAACAGCCCAGCTCAAATGAGAAGAACTTTAAGGGAAACAGAGGTAGGAATGTAACCGGTCGTAGATGCCATCTTGTCTCAGTTAAAGACATACATGCATACAAAAATTAAATTCTATTATTAGCATAACAGTTTGAATGAAAAATCCATGAGTAAATTAAGTACTGTTAATATAGCTTAAACCAGAAGCTCAATTTAACTAAAGTTTTCAATAATGCACACTTGTATAGGATTGATGTTTGTCAAATAATTTAAGTACACTTCAGTTCAAAAGTTGTTTTTGAAAAAAGTCTGCTCACCAAGGCTGTGTTTATGTGATAAAACTACTGTTAAAAACAGTAATATTGTTCAAACTATTTTCTATCTTAGTATATTTTAAAATGTAATTTATTCCTGTGATGGCATGATTTAGTGCTCAGGAAACATTTCTTAATTTTTATCAATGTTGAAAACCGTTGTGCTGCTTAATTTTTTATTATTATTAATTATTATGTAAACCATGATACATTTTTCAGGATTCTTTGATTAATTAAAAGGTCAAAAGAACAGCATTTATTTAAAATATAATTTTTATAACTATGTGAAAGTCTGTAGTCACTTTTAAAGTATTTAATGCATCTTTGCTGAATAAGATTTTTAGGTAGTGTAATTGTTAAAATGCATGTTTGCAACTTTTAAGCGATTAATCATTCAGTTTGTTATAAAATAGGCCTGGACAGAGAGGAAGAAGATTGGAGGAATGGCCTGTCTATATCTCCAAAGGAGGAAGAGAGCAGGAAGCAGCGTGAACTGGAAGAGTTACAACATAAAGCGAGAAATCTGGAGATCCAGGCCAATCAAGAAGAGTGTGCGGAAGAGGAACGCCAGCGCAAAGAGCAGCTATTGCTTAAGATGCATGAGATCGACATGCAGACTCAGGGTCAAGACTCAGACTTCTTCTCTGATGACACGGGAAGTGTCCGCTCTCCTCTACGGTTGTCAGAGAAACGTAACCACAACGGTATTTTTAAATGCACAGAGCCAGAGGAGAACACAAACACATTTGGGAGTGGGAGAAGAGGAGGTGGTCACAGAGCACAAGGACCTATTGCGGATCTTGATCTTTCTTTTGGCAGCTATGCCCCTTCTTTTGGTAAATCTGCCCCCCGTACAGGTTTGGGCACACGAAACACAAATCAGTCACCTCGAGAAGCGGATGAAGGGCTTGATCTGAGTGGCCTGGTCAAAGAAAGGAAGTCCAACCTCATGCAGCAGCTTTTTGGGGCCACAGCCACTCCACCTCCTTCAGATCCATCCAGCAAGATGGAGATTCTAGACCCCCCTCTAACAACCCAGTTCCCATCAGGACCAGTGAATGGACGGAGGAGGGACTCGGACACACCAAATGGACTAAACATCAGTTCTCTCCCCAACAATAGAAGCACTCTACAAGTCTCTGAGAGCCGACCCACAGTCAGGGCCATTACATCGTTTGATGATGACATAGAGGAAGTCGCACTCTGAATAGGGCACTTTTATAGTCAATATGAAGGAATCAGTTTCTTGAAAGCAGAAACACCTCTGATATTTGGTTTTGTGCTCCCTTATGAAGTAATCTCTGATTAAACAACGCTTAGTTTGCCAACATGCCTCCTTTTCAACACTTCCGGCAACATCATAGAGGAAGACTTTCTCAATTACACTATTTTCATGGTTAGGTATACAAAGGGACCTAAATTAACACTCGCTTTGCACCAAATGTGGAAAGAAAACCCTCGCCTGTTGGCCGGTAACTCTTTTTAGGAACCACAGCGTAATAGATGGTTAAAGTCAAACTGTTAGAATGATAATCTGCCCCTCGCTGATGTAATCAGTGTGAGTGATTCAAATCAAGAACATACGACCTGTCTTGGAGGGAAAACATCCGTTGTGACTTGCACATTTTCTAAAAACGACTTATAGCTTAAATTTATGTTTATCAAGGACGCCAAAAGGTTTTTAGGCATTTTTATTCACCACTTATGTGGAATATATCTAATTTGAAGCCAACAAAACAAAAATATGATCAGCAAGGTCACAATGTGTTTCAGTTTTTTTACTGGAAAACAAATTTATCAGGAATGTTGGTTAATAAAAATAATTCATTAAACAGTTTCATATCGGAAAAGTAATATTTATGGACGATAAATCCTCACAATGCACCATTGTTACATATGGGAGACCAGGTCATTTTGGACTCTACCTCTGTGTGTTGTTGTTATTGCTGAGAAACTCCCTTGCATACCACATGGAAAGTAGCTATAGTTAATGTTGTATTCAGATTTTCTTACTTAACAAGAGCGTGATAAGTAGAGATAGAGGGTGGGGTGCATTAGCCGATAGTCTTGTGTGAGATTCAGTTTACTGTATGTGTTTGTTTGAAAGGAAAAGGCCCTGCACTTTCAGTACTGATATGACTGTGACAGAGCTTTGTCCTCAGATAGCCACGCTATGGCTTGGCTGACTCAGGTCTGTGCTGTATCTTCTCTGAACCAGTCCTCCCACACAGCACTTTTTAGTCTCTCCCCCTTCACCTCACTTTAGATAAATGTTCATGTCTATTATGCGACAAATGAGGGTGTCTGGTTTATAAGATATAATTAAGTTTATAGATTAAACGATGAGCCAAATAATCGAATGATCTCTATACAGAGCACCCCAAAAACATGGACAATTAAATATCTGAATTTCAGTGCATTAGATTCAGTACATTTTCTCTGACCTAACTAACTGGTCCCAATGTGAACAATTCAAACTTTTAAAGCTTTTTTTTTCTAAAATGTTTTCTCGAAAATTGTACTTGTGCTACCAGATACATGTAATTTGGCTTGATATTTTGTTATTTTACACAGTGATACTTATATTTCTGTGTGGTATAAGCAAATATTTTTTGAGGGGGCCACTGTATGTTTTTGTTAATATGTGCACAGTATGATCCTTGTTACTTTAACCATTTCATAACTAGAAAACTCTGACATAATTTTACTTTCACTAGAATGTGCAGTGACTTTATTTGCCTGCTTTTATTTTTTTTATACATGAATAAGTAGGTTATGTATACTTGGCCATTTTGGATGTTTCGTAAAGCCCAGGCTCATCAATGTAAAACCACTCCTGGGTCATTATCTGTGAGATTTTGTCAGGTGGTTGTTGTGTAATTAGCAGATATGTTTTACTAGCTCTATAAAAATTGTAGTGATTTGGTTTTTATTTATAAAGCATTTCAGGGTTCATTTCAATCTCAATTACTGATAAATCTATTGTGAAATACTAGAAACAATGTGCTTGATATGGTTGCTTATTTTTGACTTTTTAATGAGGGATGTCACACAATTTATAAGTGGACAGATATGAAACAAACACAAATCAAATATTTAACTATGTTTTAATTACAAAAGATGTTTTCACTTCAGGGCCACGTTTATTTATTTTTTAAAGAACAAAATCTGGCACCCACCTGAACACATCAATCAGGTTGAAAAGTATCTAGTACTCACTTTCCATTTAAAAATGAGTTTTGGTGTTCTGTCACAATTCTCACTGCAACTCGACTGAGATCTATGATTGACATTTTAATATTTTCTAAAGCACTGTGACATCTTACCGCAGCACTAAAATGGTTCATTGTGAACATTTTTATTATTCTATAATATTACAATGGCCTGAGGTGGATTTTGTGGCTTTATTTTATTTTATTTGTCTGTCTCTGTAATCAGACTTTGTATTGTATGGCTGAATTTGAAATAGTGACCCTAAATGATTATTCAAATACAGTTTTTATGGTTTAAGTGTCTTTGTTACATCTTTTAACAAGCTTTTGAAAGAGCAATGTCAGAAACATCATACACTGGAATATGCAAGACCATTAGTCAGCACATGACATTGTGTATGGAGTGATCTCCAGAATCAGATCCATCCGTGGCCTAGAAATGTATGCTTGACACATGAACAACCTCTATCATTAACAGGAAATCTCTGATTGTCTTCTCTTGAGTGCAGCAAGCTTCCAGAGATACATGTGTGTTGTGAAGCATGGTAGAATGTTAACTATTGTGAACTTACTATAGAATGTCATCCATTGTAAGGTCGTGGCAGAGATGTGGTCATTGTGAGGTCATTGTGGAGGGATGCTATTGTGAGCTTGTGGGCGAATCGTTCTATGCATTTAACCTTGAAATCACATGACGGTCACACGCGAATCGGTTATATCAATAATTGATCTGTTATAGGTTTATAGCATGCATCTGATGAAACCTGTCAAGAAAATGGAAAATGTCTAGGTCACATTTCATCCATAATTAAACCTATTTTAGTATCATGAAGGTGGATTTTGATTTTGGGGTGAAATGTGACCTGGTCTGTGACCTTTCTGTGAGATTTGTTTGTACCAATGTTCCAGATTCGCGTTTCTTATCCATTCATGCTTATTTAACTGGTGTGATACTGCAGTAGAGGTATTAATAAATAAAATAATAATAATAATGAAGTAAATGTTATTTTAATGGAATTAAGCTAATATTATTCTGTTATTCGCTACGTTTTTTTAGTTATTTAGTAAATTAATGGACACCATTTTTCTTTTTCAGTGTACGCTTACATTTTATTTTGAGGCCTAGCATCGCCTAGCATACGTTTCCCATAAAGCCGAGCGTGTGGTGTCAAGCGTGGATTGGTTTGTCGTCACTTTACCCCCCTCTCACGCGGACATTTAAACCCATCCAATACAAAGCGCTCTAATTTGCATATAGAGAGCGCGTAACCAATGAGGTTGACAGGCTGAACAGCTTTCCTCAATTCAAACCAATATCTGAGGGCGTTATATTAACATATTTCCTTCGCAGACCAATCGCTTTGAGAAATGGCGGTTAAGTGTAGACAGAACTGACCAATGGACAAAGACGAGGGTAGAGTCTGAGGTCTGCATAATATTAACATGTTATTACCAGAGGTGTTTTAGATATTGATCCTGTATTCGGTGGTAGTTAAACTCATTCCCCCATCTTACAGGTCCATACCTGCTTTTCTAATTTAATAAAGACAAGAGACAGGAAAATTTGAAAAAATGCCCAAGAGGAAGGTAAGTCAGTTTATATTTACAATTTCCTAAAATATCCTCGATTTTCCCTCTTTTTTTAAAGAAATAGCGGCTCGCGTTTTAACGATGAGAACGTACACAACGTCGAGCAGGTAAGACGAGGATCAAGTTTTTAAAGCGTTCTATCCTAATCCGCGGGTTGGATTATGGAATCCTGCAAAAGCATTGGAACGTTCGATCATTTTGCATTCGATCCTCGTCACTTGCTGATTTCCTCCATGATAGTTGGCGGTTTAATAACCCGATGTCTCTTTCGCAGTGAATTTGCCACTCCGTGCGCACTTGTACTGAATGCCAGTTTGCGGTGATGCTTCAGTCTCCCTCGGTCAGACTCGAAACCGAGAGCTCCGCTCGAATGCGTCTGATACTCGCTAACCTCCATTTTAAGATGTTCGGTTTTTTTATTAGCTCACTTTCGTCGATCGATAGAGGTCCCCCATTATTTTTGCATAGCCATGTTTGAACCGACAGGCTCTTCCTCCACCCCCATTGCGGAGCGGCAGACCCGTATGTAACAAAGCGCTCTGTCAGTCACACTCAACTCTTTCTCTCATTTTTAGAGGCGATTATGACGGGAGACAAAACGAAACAGTGCTAAACTGTGGACTTCATAGGTTAAAACGAGAAAATAAAAATATAACAGCACGTTTGCACGTCAAATGATGCTTTATCGACAATGATCCAAAGTCCACCGAGCTTCACTATCCCACATCGGCGGGGGGGGGGGGCTAATGCCTAACAATGTGGGGTTTAACCCCCACCCCCCCACAAGTTTGTGGTAATCAGAATTTTTTTTTTTTTTAAATTATAACACTCGTGTTGTATGGTTGTATCAGCCAGATATGTTCATGATGGAGGCAATGAAGCGGGAGTTTCTCTAGGGGGAGTGTCTATTCAATTAGCGAGGCTAAACAATGGACACTTTCCAAGAATAGGTTCCAAAACTTCTCAAAGCAAAAAAGTAATAATAATACTAATAAATCAATGAAGTGCTGCTTTTTCAACAAATGGTCAGTGTCAATGAAATGAGGTGCCTGTTTTTCAGAATATTTGCAACCACAGAATGTCAAATTTCTATTTAGCTTATACTATTATTAGTTTAAAAACATGATTCGTGTGAATTTTTTTCTTCCTATTTATAAACGTTAAATAAACAAAATAGAAAGTTGAAATTTATTCAAATAAAATAAAAAGGTGTCAATTTATCTGTCCTGATTAATACAGGAATGGGTTAGGGTTAGGTCTGTAAATGTTTTTTAAAGGATAGTTTTATTGCTCATTATTGGTTATCTAATTTGGGACAAAATGTTGGCTTTTAGTTGTTAATAAACTTGTATAATAATTGTATAATTTCAGAAATTGTTTCTTTTAAAAAAAAATGAATTTGTTAAGCAACACTGACTGAGTAATGATTGAACTTGACAATTGCAGCAAA